TAATGGAAAGATTTAGCAAACTAACAGAACTCAAAAGATGAACACAATAATGAACAAAATAAAAAAATTGGCCAATATAATCCTACAATGAAAGGTGGGTTCGTCCTAAATCTACACCTAAAATTAAGTTATTAGTGGTTACAACTTGCAGCTATTCTGTAGCCTATGTGCACATTCTAGACCTTCTGATAAAAAAGCACAGTTTTAATACTGTGTACAGTTCGGCCAATAATGATTTGCATATATATCTAGTATAAGGAGCTTTATTCAGATTGATTCAGTTATCAGGACCATTCTTCCTTCATAAGAATATCAGAAACAGAAAAAACTCTGGTCCATGGCTGATATAATAAATTAATTCTTAATTATATCTAGTGTTCTGAAATGACTAATCTGGAGAAGCACGAGGACTGCATTACATGCAATAAATTATCTTACCATTATCCCATGTTTGCACTGTGTTGTTAGAATCGTCTGTTAGAAGTTCCTTGCTAACCCACGGTTCCACAAAGACATTAATATTTTTGTGCTCTTTAAGCCATCTGCAGTAAAATAAATGTCACTTCAGAGTTTTAGTGCTGCAAGTGCAATACATATTTTATCATAGCATGATGGCATATATAACCTATCTAACAAGTGCTTGAATCAGTGATATCAAGATAATTTGGATAAGTAAATGTTTAAGTGAAGACAAGTGCTTCATGCAGTGGTGAATGCGTAGCAAAATAACTCACAGTTCAGAAACATGGAAAACATACACTTTTTAAATGTGTTCACAGATAAGGTTCACATAAACATGACAGTAAGGCTATAGCAACCAGTGCCGCAATACAGAACAGAACGCACCTGACCATTTCAGCACAGAGAACACGAACAGAGTTGGAGTTAGGTTTGGTTATGAAAAGCACTGTTTGTGGCCGGGATTCCCACTTCAGCAAGATCTGAAACCAATGTATCCTTTGTTAAGGAAAGAGAGACATGTTTAAATAATGACAATTCTTTGATCAAGTGATTCCAGGTACCCGAATCAAATAGGTACAGTACAACATTTTATTTCAGAATGAAACAAACAGGAGGAGAAGCTCAACCTGTTTACTGCTGCGCTCTGCGGTTGTAATGTCTCCTTTTTCAAAGGAAACAAAGTCATGCTTGTGCTGGCCGTTTTTGTTCCCATTGCATCCCCATGAAAGTCTAAATGATGCCTTTCTTCCCACCATACTGAGACTAGGTCTTGGGTTAGGTCCAGGAACTTCGTCCTGGAGAACCTCGTGTGAACATATCCCATGGTTTCCACAACACCCTGTTTGATCAGATGCAGGTGCCTCAAGTGATAGTTGGCTGGCCATTTTCCCTAGGTTATCATCGGTACAAGTGCCACAGTCTGCACAAGGTTAAACAGTCCAGTTAGATTTTTCTCAAGGGTTCCAATACATTGGAAAACGGCATAATTTTCACGGTGTAAGATATGGATTGACCGTTTTGAGATCCATCCAATTATACTAGTATGATGCTCCCTTTGCTAAAATAAAAAGTGCGAACACGGGAAGCATGCTGTAATGACCCAAGACTCAAACTTAATAAAGCCTTCCTCATGTGAAGTGGGACTACAGAAACACAGCACTATGCTTAGGATTCCATCCTTTTTTGCCTCAAATGGTTAAGCCATGGTTGCTATACATTGTATCATACTTCTATAGATTTGATACTCCTAATGTGAGATAAACTCACCTCATTTTGTGACAGCTATGGGCATCAATCTGTGTGTAAACGTCTATATTTGCCTTGATTGGTACTTTCATAAGGAAAACTTCCTTTTGTAAACACATGGTGATAAATATCAACGGTAAATTTCAGATCAGTGAGCATCTGGAAACTATTTGTTTAGTGACCTGAACTAGTACGCCACTTCAATAAACCAACTATCAACTCAACGGATGATACTGTCTGTAAATAGTAAAAGCATCAGCTGCAAATGTATAAATCTGACCTTTGATTCTGGTTTGTTGCTTTTGCGCTGTCTCTAACTCATATTTCCGTTTCCACTCTGCCGCCTCGGCTTGAGCAGCAGCCTTCCCTTCGGCAACTTGTCGCAGTGCTTTTGCAACAGCTTCAAATTGACAAAATTGCACAGGTCACTATTTGGAGTGCAGGTAAAAATCACAGCATATGTATATGTAACTGTTATGTAAGAGGATTCAGGTAGGGTCATCTGAGAGTGCGTGTGTCCTTACTTCTCATAGCCTCTGAAAACTCCACAAGGTGTTTATCAGTTGACTTGATAGGAGTTTGAGCAAGGAACTCATAAGCTGCTTTCTCTGACTCCACTGAACTAACTGTAGAGCTAACTGTAGAAATGGAGCCATTTTCACTTTGGTGCGAGGCTGTGAGATCCAGATTTACTGTTTGATCGGAAACCTGAAATACAAGGAAGGTCTGTCAATAAGACAATGAGAAATTTGATGAGGGGAACAGAGTCAAAATGTCTCCAATTCTTTCTTTTCCTTACGGTGGGGACTTTAATCCTTTCAGTTCAAAGCCAAAACACTGATTGCGAGCTAACATTAAAAGAAGATGTTCACCTTAGTTTAGCCTTGCTATATTATTACAGCAGATAATCCCAATAAGTAAATTTACAAACTCTCAAGGATTTCCAGATCAGCTCAACATATAAGCGCATAGGGGCATATGAACTCGTAAGATGTAAGCTCGTTAACCCACAACCCCCGCTGGCCTCAGTTCTTACATAGAAAAAGTTGCCCTTAAAGCTAAACTGGGGAAATGATTAATCCGCCCTATACAGATTAAAACAACCACAGTATAAACTGAGCCATGCATGTAAGGTGAAATGTTTGCTTCTCAAATCCTGACTACGAATTCGAATCGTACTCCGCATAACTACATGCGCGATGAGCCTCAGATGCAAATGTGGCGCACATCTTTTTTAATAAAACAAATCAGCACAAAGATTGGGTAAACGGGCTGATACCCACTGCATATTTTAATCGGGAAAGTAAACTAATGTCGAGAGGAATTCAAACATTCCCCCAACCGCAGGAGAGGCAAGTTAGGTGGCTGAAAAACGTGCGGAGCCGTACTCCGGACCCTGACCCTAGTCGGTTGGTTGGTTAGTTGGAGATAGCGCCGCCCATGACCATCAGATTCAGGCACGCAACTGAAGCGCAGGCGGGCGGCAAGAACATGCGTACGGCATGACCCGGAAAGCGACGCGCAGTGTTTTTGTGGGGGGTGGGCAGTACGTACCGTCTCCAGCAGCGATCTGGAGCTGGGCGCCGCCGGGATTGGTATCGGCCCCGGGTTGAGGCTCCGGAGCCTCGTGTCCGGCTGCTGCGCCAGCTGCTGGGCCGCCTCCTGAGACAGAGAGAGAAAACGAAGCATTCATTCGTCAGCAGCAGCAAACAACAACAGCGGACATGTTTCTTCAGAAGTTCAGGTAACAGCAGCAGCAGCATGCCGCGGGGCGGAATCGCAATTCGCCGATTCCGAGCACCAGCTGCGCGGAATGCCCGGAATCGAAGCGGCGGCGAGGCACGGGGCGAGCGGGGCCGGGCAGAGCTCGGGCTCCCGGCCGCCGAAACCCCGCCCCCAGAAAAACAGCTAGTGAGGCGGCCGGATCGGAGGGCGCGGGCGCGTGCGTACCTGGTGGGCGGGCTCGCCGAGCGCAGGTATGGCGGCGCGATCCGGCTGGCTCGGCGCCGCGTCCGTGGCCATGGCCGTCGCGTGGGGTGGCCTCCTCTGCTCGGCTCCGCTCCGCCTCAGTCGTCGGCGTGGGCGACTCCTGTTTGGCTTCCGCTTCGGTGCCGGGTGTGTGTTTTGGCTTGCTTGTTGGGGGCAGTGGTGGTGTGCTGCTACGTGCGTGCGTGGCCTGGGATTTGCGGGGGGTGGGTGGAGGTGGTGGTTGGGCGCTTGCGCTTGCGCGGGCCGAAGTAGCCGAGGACGAGGGTGAGGGGGAGGCTGTTGCCGATCCACGGGCTATTTATCGGCGCCGGCGAGAGCTGACCGGTCCGGTCAGGGGCTGGCGGGGCCCGCTGCGCAGCCAGGTCGACGCGTGCGCCGGTGATGGATCTTTCTCATTTGCTTCGGTACGGTACGGGGGTTGGGGATGGGGGATGAAGAGGTCCACGGTTTCAGTCCAAATTACCACCAACCTCTTGGTCGGCCCCCATGTATTTCCTGCTCCTTCCCATCAAGAGCACTTTGGTTCAACGAATTTTCATACATATTTCAACAACTTCAATACAAATCCGACGTCAGAATTTTGACCATGGCACATCAGACGTTTTTTGTTTGCCGAGGCTGGCAAGTTTAGCCGGCGAGCATGGCAGATCCGACTCGGTTTATTTCATTTTTATTTTGCCAAAAAATTGCCGTGCTCATAAACTAAATTTGACTTCCTCACGCTAACTAAATTTGCTATAAAAAATGTCCGATGGAACTTCACCTTTTTTTTATATAAAAATCTAATGATTTCTTTGCACTTTCTTTCATCGGAAATTTTGCATCCACTTAGACCACTTGGAAAGAATCATTCCTTTCTGTTAACGGCGCAACGAAACATTCGAAACTAATCTTGCATGCACGATTCAAATACTGAAAGCTCCTTAGTGAGAGAGGAAAGACTTATTCCAAAAACCTCTGTAATTTTCCTTTTATGGTTTGAGACAACATTTTTCAACATCTAGCTTGACAAAATTGGTAATAACAACAGATCAACAAGATTATATAGATATAAAGCAAATATGAAATATTATTATATTGCTGTTCTTGGAACGTTCGTGGTTACTACTACGAGGAAGACACTGATTGCTTGGTAGGCCCATTCTCCTTTGGGAATCTAGGAGCAAAATGGTACTAGTACTAAATTAGTCCCACACTTATATTTTGGTCAGCACTTGACTTATTTTAACCCAGTACTTTTTTCTTCAAATGTGCTTCAAAAATCACTCTCTAACACTGTACTTGATGTTAGACTTCTGTTATCAATAAGACATGTAGCTGAACACCTTTAACGCAGGTATTATATACGATGGACGGCTTATTTTACAATCTTAGGGAGCAAAACTCGCAGAATAATATCCCGCAAAATCAAGCTCAGATTAAAACAGCAAAAAACTTGTAGCAGTTACTTGTACTTGAAGACTTGGTTTCGGAAACCATGTTTGCGTAGTTGGTGTGTATATCCGCAGCTGTCCAAAATGTTTGTTTTTTCTTTAATCATAGGCATGGTGCATCTACTTGATTTTTCTGTTGTGTGTGCTGAAAACGACTGATTTTTGTGTGAACAAACGGAAGGATTAAAGAAAGGCACGGATCAACTATCTACAATTCCCCCTAGAGTTCTACATTTTCCAAGCATGCTGGCTGGACGATGGCGACAACCGGCAAGTTAAGCAAGCAGCTGGGAGCAATGCTACATTCACGGGGGCTTTACGGGCGTTTTACGGGGCTAAGCGGACGTGGGTTGCGCTAATTGGACGTTAGGCGACGCGGGCCCACCCTGAAAATAGGGGGGGGGGGTGAGATTAGTGAGGGGAAAAGGAAAGTCCGTTGATTAAGTAAAAAATAGCCCGTAAGTGTAGCGTTTTTGAGCAGCTGGTAGCTAGCTTACTTGCAAGACTTGTTTTGGTGCGCTCATCTCATCATCCGCAAGACTTGACCGACTAATCCAAGTCCTTTTTACTTTTATTTATCAAATACACAGGCAGAGTACTTCACCAGCGGCGATATACGCCTTCGAAAAATACCGCCCATTTTAATTTACCCGGTATGTACGTACTGGCCAGCCAATGGATGGATCGAAATCCGTCTCGTTTTCCTTGTGGAGAGAGACAGGCGCTGATTTTTTTGGTAGGATTATCGTATCTTTAAGTGCTGTCAGAGTTTACGCGGCTTGTAACTGAATATTTATTTTATTAATGAGGTGCATATTACCATGAAAAAAAGATGTACGTATGCTGCATATTCAAACGATTCTCTGTCGAGAAGGTCCCTGCTCCCATTTTCACCCGGTAGCAGTTACTACATACCATCAGCCGATCGAAGCCGTGTGTCCACTGACGAATATGCTTATTTTTCAGAGGAAATGTATATTCAAACGATTCCCTATGGAGGAGAAGAAGGTCCTGGTCGTCGATTGGGTGCATGCACGCGGCCGGGCCCGGGAGATGGACGCCGACAAAATCTTTGGTATTCTTTTACTAGTACTAGAATGTAGTATGCCTTTATTTATAACGGTATGAAAAGGGAGGGAGCTGCAAAGGTTAAAAATGTGGTCAGGTGGACAGAAAGGGAGAGGAATGAGCGGCAGGCATTTTGATGCTTTTTTTGGCGTTGGACTCGTGGAAACGTGGGTGATTGCACGCACTTGTACCACGAGCATCGTCCAAAGCAAGGCAGCCATCGTGGTCGTGGGAAGAGAGACGGGACAAGGGTGGGTGGGGTGGGGTGGGGGTCGTGCGGCCAGCCACGCTACGGCGGAGGCCTCCTCTGACTTGGTCCCGGGTAGAGGCCCCCGCACGACGAAAAGTGAAGACCCGCCGGCCGCCGGCGCCGAATGTCAAAGGCAGCCAGTATACTAGTGGTAGTGGCACTGTGGAAGCAGGACGCGGCGTGCGGGAGGTGAGGGATGGGATCCGTCCACGTTCAGCGGAAGAGGGAACGGGACGTTGGTCTCCGATCTGACGACTCATCCGTCCGTCCGTCGCGGAGATGGTTGGCGGTTGATGGAGCCGTACCTGCTACTCCCTCCGTCTGAAAATACTTGTCATCAAAATTGATGAAAATGGATGTATCTATAACTAAAATACATCTAGATACATCCATTTCAATGACAAGTATTTCCGGACAGAGGGAGTACGTGCGTAACTGTGATCTGATGGTGCCTCTCGTTCCATGCTCGTACCTTCCTCAGGCTCCGGAGGTTTTCGTCCTGGTCGACCGAGCTTTTGCTTGATTCCACGTCGTTCATGGAGGAAAGCTACCTACTCTACCGTGAACTAACCCGGTCAGCGTCGACCCAGGCAGTCAACTCGAGCGGCTGCTACCGTCGGCCTGCCGGTCTTTGCTCTGACCGGCCGGTCGGTCTCAGACTCTCAGGTCAGACCGCACGCAAATTTACCCCGGTAGTACTCACACACCAACTGGTTTTTTTTATGGGATCACACACACCAACTGGTACCGCATCCGATCGCCGAAATTTTTTCCATGAGCTTCCACCAATCGCAAAATTCAGAGACAGTCAAGTAGTCCTACTCACACAGGCTAAATTTTGTGTTTTGATCCTTTTCGCATAACAATCCAGGATCTGAACCCAGTTCGAAATAATTTCGGGATTTGACCCTTTCGCTACCGTCAGGGCTTCTGGCGGTCGAGTTAGACAACCTACCGCCAGGGTCCCTGGCGGTAGGGTGCGACGGAGGAGGACGACAGCCGTCTCCACATACTGACGTGGATTAGTACCCTACCGCCAGGGACTATGGCGGTAGGCTGTCTGAACCTACCGCCAGCACCTCTGGCGATAGGGGTTGGCTTGGGTTTTTGCCTCCGAAAGGTTCTGTAACGAAAAATCGCAGCGGCCTGGCGGTA